CTTTGTTTTCATGGTGCATTTGCTTGGGTTTTAATTTTGCAACAGTGCATTCTTTGGTTCCGGGTTTGAATTCTCCATGTCGTCAGACGCTTTGGCCTGGGGGGGTTCTTTTGGCCCTTAGACGCTGGGTTGCATCGTTCTTTGAGAATGAGGTAAGACGACCTTGGATTTATGCGGCTGCGTTCTCCCTTGGGCGTGTGAGCGCTGCGACCAATAGATTTCGTCCCGAGTTCCATCGGTGTGCTTGCTTGGGTTTTCATTTTGCAACATTCTCAATTTTTGGTGCAATTTCTTCCGGTGGTGTATTGGGTACTAACTTTGCATTTGTATTGTATCTGAATTGTATCTGTATCTGTATCTATAGTGTATTCTGCATTGTAGCTAGATTGTAGGTACCTGTATTGTATTTCCGTTGTATTGTACTGTATAACGTTCTATCCCTCATTAACAATTCCTAGCCCTCTCCTTTCCTAGCGAGATCTGCTCCAGACCTTCCCGTGGTTCTTGCTGAGCATCAACTATCGAGGACAGAAAATTCAAATTCAAAACCAGCAAAGTTCCACAAAAATCAAGAAAATCGCTCGTTGGTGGCCAACGTGGAGCAAAAGAGACTTTTGTAACTCAACTAACTTTGTTAACTCTATATTCTTAAGGAAAAAAAATATTACATTTAATTTATCATTTATAAGGACAAATAGTCATTTGCCACGCCGATGCTCATTTTTAGATTAAATGCTCACAAAACGCGTAAATGTTCAATTTGTGTCCGGGGAGATACAATGTTTGCAAGTAGATACACAGTACATCGGGTAGATGCTCAGGTATATGAGAGTAATAATGAAGTAGGTACTTCGTACTTCGAATATGAGTATCTACTCAGTTTTATTCATACCGTCCAATGTCTCGCTTCAATGTTTGATTATGATGTTGATTATGAGCACAACGCTGATCAACTTCCGGATCCGAATTACCCTTCAAATAAATCATCGCGATTTGCACCTTAGGTAGTTCGTCGCACATTTGTTTGACTTCGTGGACTTATGTCAGCTTGTCGTCTTCTCGGCATTGTCATGAACTTCATAAAACGACAGAGAATTATTTTCACAGTCAATCAAACCTGTAAATTTTGTCTTGAGAATTTTAAAATATTGAAAACTTCAAATTAAATCCTCGAATAACGGTAAAGTTTGAAGTTTTGTCGAAACCAACAAAGTGAACATAGGTAAATAGAATGGCAGATCAAAATTAATAAGACACGACGTTTTTTTTTACGAAAAAACAAAGAACAATTTGAAATTCAATAATACTTTTTTCACAATCGCACGGAAGAAATAGTTTTGTATGACACGTCAGTTAGGCGAAAGGTCCGTCAGGAACGCCAACTATTCAAATTCATTCGAAGTGGCGATTCCCATGCAACATTTTTAATTTTTTTTTATCTTTTAGCCGTCTTATTTTTTATAAATTTTCTTACATATAAACCTTGTCCTGACAATAAGGTACACGTAAAAAAAAGAATCGTCCAATTCGGTGCAGTCGTTCTGAAGTTATGAGCGTACATACATTTCGGCGATTCATTTTTGTTAATATAAATAAAGCATTATTATTTTAGAACAAATTTCAAAACCATAAAAAAGGTTATACTGACTCGACCTTAAAAGATAGACGTATGCTGTCAGGCACTTTTCTTTAGAACTTTTAGAGGGGAACAATTTCGTCATACATGATTTTTACGTAACTTTAACCGTTTAAGCAGCGTAAGCAACGGAAGCTGTCAAAGGAGGAATAATTTTCCCGTTTTTCCGAATTTTTCATTGCTACTTCGCTCCTCATGATCGTAGCGTGATGTTATATAGTCTATATGTAGATATGATATCTGGACTATCCAACACAAAAAGATTTTTTGAATTTGAACTAATAGTTTCTGAGATTAGCGTGTTCAAATAAACAAAAGCTTCAACTTTATTATATAAGTATAGATTAGAATAAAATTATCGCCAATAAAAAGAGCAAAAGGTACGACATGCTCTTGAAGAATATTTGCTACATATCGATCAGCATTCATTGTGCCTCTATCCACCACTACAAGTTCCGTGCGAGCCTCGGCAGAAATTCCTGCCCAGGCCATCACTGAACCTCCATGAAAACTTAGTCTGGAAACAATATTGCACTGAGCCTACCTTGCGACTCATTTGTAAAGAGTACTTGGCCCCATTGGGCAAGATCCGAGTTAACGTGTTCTCGAACAAATGCAAGTCGGGCTACTCTGTGTCGTGGGAGAAGTTCTGGGCCACTTGCAGGTCTACGGGCCCTCAATTCACCTGCAGTTAACCTTTTTCTTACAGTTCTTTCACTTACACTAACTCCTCGTGTTTCTTCAAGTTGATTTCTGGCCTCAACTGCGGTCGTATCCCTATTACGGAACACGGTCAGCGTTAAAAAATGGTCATCCCGAGCCGATGTTTTCTTTGGACGACCCGAATCAGGTCTTCGGCTGTATGATCCAGTCTCAATAAACCGTCGTACAGTTCTGTGAATGCTCACTTGTGATACCCCTAACGTATTGGCAACGTACCGTTAACTTCGACCATCCTGAATAAGAGCAATTGCTCGTGCTGCATTAATGGCCACAATACTCATGTTAATTGACAAAAAAACAGTTTTCATCAAGTCACAATGACAAACCGTCTGTTAATGCCCTCTAAACGTCACAACTGCAAATCTCATTGTTGGAAAAAACTTATCATCTTCAGATTTGAGGTTCATATCATGTACAAAAAAGAAGCAAAAACCTAGTGTTAGTATATTTTGTGTGATTTTTTCAAAACTGATATTGACTGTAGCCAAACGTTTAAAAAAGGAACCATTTTCAATACAAACTTTGGGTGATTCGCTTTTTTTGCCGGTGAGTGTATTTTTTGAATCCTTCAAACCACTTTGGAATCTTTAGAATCTCTAGAATCTAGAATCACTAGAAAAATCTATAATCTTTAGAGCTTTCAGATTTTCATACTTCAGTATCTCTAGAATTTTAAATATTTTTAGATCTTTAGGATTTTTATCATCTTTCCAATTATATTTGCTGTTTCAACTTTCGAATTCTCAGTTTTTCGAAATTTTAGTTTGGGCACTTTTCAGTTTACTCCTATTTATTATTTAATTTTTAATTTTTCAATTTTTCAATTTCTCGGTTTCCAGTTTTTCTCTTCAATTTTACGATTTTTAAATATTTCGATTTTTCAATTTTTGACTTTTATAAACTCTTCATTTGTCGATTTTTCAATGAATTGATTTTTCAGGTTTTTTGGTTTTTCAATTTTTCTATTTTTTCAGGTTTCGATTTTTCAACTTCACTTTTTTGATTTTTCGATTTCAAAATTTTTCAATTTTTTAATTTCTCAGTTTTTCGACATTTCAGTTTTAGGATTTTTCAGTTTACTTATTATTCAATTTTTCGATCTTACGATTTTGCAGATTTTTGATTTTTCAATTTTTCGACTTTTTAGATTCTCAGTTTTTGGATATTTCAGTTTTGGGATTTTTCAGTTTTTCGATTCGTCAGTTTTTCTTTCATTTTTCAGTTTTTCGATATTTCAGTTTTGGGATTTTTCAATATTTCTGTTCTTCGACTTTTCCATTTTTGACTTCTGGATTTTTCGATGTGTCGACTTTTTACTTTTTCGATTTTTAAATTTTAGATTTCTCAATTTTTTTGTATTTTAATTTTTCAATATTTAAAATTTTAGATTTTTCTATTTCTCGATTTTTCATTTTAGCTCTTCCATATTTCAATTTTTCAAATGTTTCGATTTCTTAATCTTTCGATTTTTCGACTTTCCCGTTTTAGATTTTCTGTTTTTCAATTGTCGTTTTTTCAAATTTTCGATCTTTCAATTTTTCAAATTTGACATTTATAAACTGTTAATTTTTCGATTTTTCAATTAATCGATGTTTTGATTTTCCCATTTCTTGATTTTCGACGGTTTCGATATTCCTGTTCAATTCTTTAATTTTTCGATTTTTCAGGTTTTTGATTTTTCATTTTTAGTTTTTTTAAGGTTTCGATTTTTCGACTTCACTTTATGGATTTTTCGATTGCTCAATTTTTTGACTTTTTAGGTTCTCAGTTTTTGGATATTTCAGTTTTCGGATTTTTCAGGTTTTCCCATTTTTCAGTTTTTCGATATCTCAGTTTTGGGATTTTTCAATATTTTGATTCTTCGAGTTTTCGATTTTTGACTCCTGGATTTTTTGATGTGTCGATTTTTTTACTTTTTCGATTTTTTAATTTTTAAAGTTTTAGATTTTTCGATTTCTCGATTTTTCATTTCAGTTCTGCGATATTTCAATTTTTCAAGTTTTCGAATTTTTCAAATGTTTCGATTTCTTAATCTTTTGATTTTTCGAATTCGCGGTTTTAATTTTTCTGTTTTTCACATGTCATTTTGTCAAATTTTCGATTTTTTAATTTTTCAAATTTGACTTTTATAAACTCTCAATTTTTAGATTTTTCAATTAATCGATGTTTTGATTTTCCGATTTCTTGACCTTCGAGTGTTTCGATTTTTCTGTTGTTCAATTCTTTAATTTTTTGATTTTTCAGGTTTTTGATTTTTGAATTTTTCGATTTTTTAAGGTTTCTATTTTTCGACTATCACATTTTTGATTTTTCGATTTTTCAGTTTTTAGATATTTCAGTTTTAGGATTTTTTAATATTTCAATTCTTCGGTTTTTCTATTTTTGACTTCTGGATTTTTCGATGTGTTTTACTTTTTCGATTTTTCAATTTTTGGATTTTTAAATTTTAGATTTTTACATACTTCAGTATCTCTAGAATTTCAAATATTTTCATATCATTAGGATTTTTATCATCTTTCCAATTTTTTAAAGTGCGCAAAATCACCGCAGGTGTCAGTAACTCCACAAATTTCTCCAATCTACTTTCACTTGTTGATAAATAATAAATTGGGTATACTACAAAAAATATATTTGAACTAACATTCATCAATTAAATTTTCTCAATTTTCAAATAAACAACATTTGCATCAATGTTTAACACTCATGTGCTTATTTAACGCCGAACTAATTTTACTTCTAAAAGGACACTTGTCGCACTTGTACCACTTAACCCCCTTCCCATCCGAATGACACGTGTTCACATGACAGTTCAAATAACGCTTCAATTTAGCCTTATACGGACAAAATTCGCACTCAAACGACTTGACATCCAAATGATGGACAGTTATATGATCCTTCAATTTATCTTTCCGTTTAGTTTTATACGCACACCCCGTACATTCGTACCACCTATCTTCTTCATCCAAATGTCGACAAACCACGTGATTTTTCAAACTCGACAACAGCTTAGTTTTGAACGGGCACTTTTCGCATTCGTACCACTGAATTTCTTCTTCGTTTAGATGTTTCACGGTCATGTGTGGCTTCAAAGACGATTTGTGCTTAGTTTTAAACGGACAATGTTCGCATTCGTACCACTTAATGTCTGCGTCGTGCATTGTATTCACGTGTCTGTTTAAATGGCCTTTGAATTTAGTTCTAAGTGGACATTGCTCACACTGGAACCATTTAACGTCTTGTTCGTCTAAATGGATGCAATTTATGTGGACTTTTAAATCAGATTTACGTTTACTTTTAAATAGACACTTGTCGCATTCGTAGAAATCGTTTCCGTCTGAGTGGCGATTGTTGATGTGATCGTTTAAATAACTTTTCAATTTAGTATTATATGCACAATATTTGCATTGAAAGGATTTGGCGTCTGAATGGTGAACAGTTACATGATCTTTTAAGTTTTGTTTTTTTTTACTTTTGTATGAACAGCTCTCACACTCATACCACTTAATTTCGTCTTCTTTGGTGTGTTGACAAATTACGTGTTTTCTTAAATTTGATACCCATTTAGTTTTGAAGGGGCAACTTTTACATTCGTACCACTTAATTTTTTCCGCATCTACGTGTTTTTCGCTTATGTGGATATTTAAATTTCTTTTCCACCTAGTTTTAAAAGGACACTTTTTGCATTCGTGCCATGTAACGTCTTGTTCGTCTGAGTGGTTCGTTTTTACGTGGATTTTTAAATCTTCTTTATATTCGCATTCATATGGACACTTGTTGCATGCAAATCGTTCGTTCAAATGGCGACTTTCCGTATGACGTTTTAGGGTATATTTGACTTTAGCTCTGTAGGAACATTTCGTACAGTAGTACCAACGTTTTTCGTGAGTTTGCTTAAAATAGGGATGATATGCGGATTCTTCCTTGCCCTTTGTTCCCAGGCAAGTCAGACTATGCTTAACCCACTTCAACGAGAAATTTGTTTCGAAGTTGCATTTTTCGCAAACGTACTTTTGTATGTGGAAATCCTCGCTTGATAATTCTCTTTTAAGACCATGATATTTATTGATGTGTTGTTTGAACAAAACTGTAAATTCAGTTTGAAATTCACACTCTTTACAGTAATAAAATTCGAATTTGTCGCATGTAAATTTTTCCAGAGATGCACGGTGTCGCCTCACGTGGTTCGTCATACGAAACAACGATTTTGTAAAGTATGGACATAGTTTACAATTGTGCGCGTTTTTCCATGATGATATTCCCTGTGTTGAGGGTGCTTCCGAATACTCCAAAGTTGACATTTTCGTCGTCTAAAAAAATTTTATTACACTACGGAAGCGGTTGCAATTTTAGTTACCTAAGTCTCGTCAAAAAGCTAAATATTATCGCCTGCGATAGTTCGTAATTTTACAAAAACCAGACTTCTAACCTAACATTCTTAAGTCACATTTGACGTTTCGATTTTTTTTTAATAAAACAACAGTTTGCTTTAGAGGTTATGCGACGGTGAGACCTTGAAGGACGTTGGGTTTTCAACCAATCAAACTGCGGTTGTGTGCAGTGCTTTCGAAAATGTTGCTCCGTGACCATCGACACCCTACATTTTTGGAATCAGCACGTCGAGATCCACGTCTCTGAATTTTTTCAGAATTTTTGGACAACTTTTTGAATAGTGAAATTTTTCCACTTCTTCAGATTTCGGTCAAATTTTGACATTTTCGAAACTCAACTAAACACATTTTCTTGTAGATTTCGAGCTCTAGATTTCAGTTCCGGGTTTGTTTCTTTGATAGCTGTAACCGTTTTTCCGGAATCCACCGTTGAAATATCGAGATTTTTAGAAATTCTCAAAAATTCGCATTTGGTAGCGATTCTTTCGAAAATGTTATTCCGTGACCATCAACACCCTATATTTTTGGAATCAGCACGTCGAGATCTACGTCCCTGAATTTTTTCTGAATCTTTAGACGACTTTTTGAAAAGTGAATTATTTCCAATGGTCCCCCCTTCTTCAAATTTCGGCCAAATTTTGACATTTTCGAAACCCAACCAAACGCATTTTCTTGTAGATTTCGAGCTCTAGAACTCACTTTCGGCCTCGTTTTTTTGATAACTCCAACCGTTTTTCCGGAATCCACCGTTGAAATATCGAAATTTTTTGAAATTCTCAAAAATTCGCATTTCGTAGCGATTCTTTCGAAAATGTTGCTCCGTGATCATCAACACCCTATATTTTTGGAATCAGCACGTCGAGATCTACGTCCCTGAATTTTTTCAGAATTTTTGGACATCTTTTTGAAAAGTGAAATTTTTCCAATGGTCCCCCCTTCTTCAAATTTCGGCCAAATTTTGACATTTTCGAAACTCAACTAAACACATTTTCTTGTAGATTTCGAGCTCTAGATTTCAGTTCCGGCTTTGTTTCTCTGATAGCTGTAACCGTTTTTCCGGAATCCACCGTTGAAATATCGAGATTTTTAGAAATTCTCAAAAATTCGCATTTCGTAGCGATTCTTTCGAAAATGTTATTCCGTGACCATCAACACCCTATATTTTTGGAATCAGAACGTCGAGATCTACGTCCCTGAATCTTTTCAGAATTTTTAGACGACTTTTTGAAAAGTGAAATTTTTCCGATGGTCCCCCCTTCTTCAAATTTCGGCCAAATTTTGACATTTTCGAAACTCAACTAAACACATTTTCTTGTAGATTTCTAGCTTTAGAACTCAGTTCCGGCGTCGTTTCTTTGATAACTGCAACCGTTTTTCCGGAATCCACCGTTGAAATATCGAGATTTTTAGAAGTTCTCAAAAATTCGCATTTCGTGCCGATTCTTTCGAAAATGTTGCTCCGTGATCATCAACACCCTATATTTTTGGAATCAGCACGTCGAGATCTACGTCCCTGAATTTTTTCATAATTTTTGGACAACTTTTTGAACAGTGAAATTTTTCCACTTCTTCAGATTTCGGTCAAATTTTGACATTTTCGAAACTCAACTAAACACATTTTCTTGTAGATTTAGAGCTTTAGAACTCAGTTCCGGATTCGTTTCTTTGAGAGCTGCAACCGTTTTTCCGAAATCGACCGTTGAAATATCGAGATTTTTAGAAATTCTCAAAAATTCGCATTTCGTGGCGATTCTTTCGAAAATGTTGCTCCGTGACCACCAACACCCTATATTTTTGGAATCAGCATGTCGAGATCTACGTCCCTGAATTTTTTCAGAAGTTTTGGACAACTTTTTGAAAAGTGAAATTTTTTCAATGGTCCCCCCTTCTTCAAATTTCGGCCAAATTTTGACATTTTCGAAACTCAACTAAACACATTTTCTTGTAGATTTCGAGCTCTAGAACTCACTTTCGGCCTCGTTTCTGTGATAACTCCGACCGTTTTTCCGGAATCCACCGTTGAAATATCGAGATTTTTAGAAATTCTCAAAAATTCGCATTTCGTAGCGATTTTTTCGAAAATGTGATTCCGTGACCTTCAACACCCTATATTTTTGGAATCAGCACGTCGAGATCTACGTCCCTGAATTTTTTCAGAATTTTTAGACGACTTTTTTAAAAGCGAAAATTTTCCAATGGTCCCCCCTTCTTCAAATTTCGGCCAATTTTTGACATTTTCGAAACTTAACTAAACATATTTTCTTGTAGATCTCGAGCTCGAGAACCCACTTCCGGTCTCGTTTCTGTGATAACTCCGACCGTTTTTCCGGAATCCACCGTTGAAATATCGAAATTTTTAGAAATTCTCAAAAATTCGCATTTCGTAGCGATTCTTTCGAAAATGCTATTCCGTGACCATCAACACCCTATATTTTTGGAATCAGCACGTCGAGATCTACGTCCTCGAATTTTTTCAGAATTTTTAGACGACTTTTTTAAAAGTGAATTTTTTCCAATGGTCCCCCCTTCTTCAAATTTCGGCCAAATTTTGACATTTTCGAAACTCAACTAAACACATTTTCTTGTAGATTTCGAGCTCTAGAACTCACTTCCGGTCTCGTTTCTTTGATAACTCCAACCGTTTTTCCGGAATCCACGGTTGAAATATCGAGATTTTTAGAAATTCTCAAAAATTCGCATTTCGTAGCGATTTTTTCGAAAATGTTACTCCGTGACCATCAACACCCTACATTTTTGGAATCAGCACGTCGAGATCTACGTCCCTGAATTTTTTCAAAATTTTTAGGCGACTTTTTTAAAAGTGAAATTTTTCCAATGGTCCCCCCTTCTTCAAATTTCGGCCAAATTTTTACATTTTCGAAACTCAACTAAACACATTTTCTTGTAGATTTCGAGCTCTAGATTTCAGTTCCGGCTTCGTTTCTTTGATAGCTGTAACCGTTTTTCCGGAATCCACCGTTGAAATTTCGAGATATTTAGAAATTCTCAAAAATTCGTATTTCGTGCTGATTCTTTCGAAAATGTTGCTCCGTGACCATCAACACCCTATATTTTTGGAATCTGCACGTGGAGATCTACGTCCCTGAATTTTTTCAGAATTTTTGGACATCTTTTTGAAAAGTGAAATTTTTCCAGTGGTCCCCCCTTCTTCAAATTTCGGCCAAATTTTGACATTTTCGAAACTCAACTAAACACATTTTCTTGTAGATTTCGAGCTCTAGATTTCAGTTCCGGGTTTGTTTCTTTGATAGCTGTAACCGTTTTTCCGGAATCCACCGTTGAAATATCGAGATTTTTAGAAATTCTCAAAAATTCGTATTTCGTGCCGATTCTTTCGAAAATGTTGCTCCGTGATCATCAACGCCCTATATTTTTGGAATCAGCACGTCGAGATCTACGTCCCTGAATTTTTTCAGAATTTTTGGACATCTTTTTGAAAAGTGAAATTTTTCCAATGGTCCCCCTTCTTCAAATTTCGGCCAAATTTTGACATTTTCGAAACTCAACTAAACACATTTTCTTGTAGATTTCGAGCTCTAGATTTCAGTTCCGGCTTCGTTTCTTTGATAGCTGTAACCGTTTTTCCGGAATCCACCGTTGAAATTTCGAGATATTTAGAAATTCTCAAAAATTCGTATTTCGTGCTGATTCTTTCGAAAATGTTGCTCCGTGACCATCAACACCCTATATTTTTGGAATCTGCACGTGGAGATCTACGTCCCTGAATTTTTTCAGAATTTTTGGACATCTTTTTGAAAAGTGAAATTTTTCCAGTGGTCCCCCCTTCTTCAAATTTCGGCCACATTTTGACATTTTCGAAATTCAACTAAACACATTTTCTTGTAGATTTCGAGCTCTAGATTTCAGTTCCGGGTTTGTTTCTTTGATAGCTGTAACCGTTTTTCCGGAATCCACCGTTGAAATATCGAGATTTTTAGAAATTCTCAAAAATTCGTATTTCGTGCCGATTCCTTCGAAAATGTTGCTCCGTGACCATCAACACCCTATATTTTTGGAATCAGCACGTCGAGATCTACGTCCCTGAATTTTTTCAGAATTTTTAGACGACTTTTTGAAAAGTGAATTTTTTCCAATGGTCCCCCCTTCTTCAAATTTCGGCCAAATTTTGACATTTTCGAAACTCAACTAAACACATTTTCTTGTAGATTTCGAGCTCTAGATTTCAGTTCCGGCTTTGTTTCTCTGATAGCTGTAACCGTTTTTCCGGAATCCACCGTTGAAATATCGAGATTTTTAGAAATTCTCAAAAATTCGCATTTCGCAGCGATTCTTTCGAAAATGTTATTCCGTGACCATCAACACCCTATATTTTTGGAATCAGCACGTCGAGATCTACGTCCCTGAATTTTTTCAGAATTTTGAGACGACTTTTTTGAAAAGTGAAATTTTTCCAATGGTCCCCCCTTCTTCAAATTTCGGCCAAATTTTGACATTTTCGAAACTCAACTAAACACATTTTCTTGTAGATTTCGAGCTCTAGATTTCAGTTCCGGCTTCGTTTCTTTGATAGCTGTAACCGTTTTTCCGGAATCCACCGTTGAAATATCGAGATTTTTAGAAATTCTCAAAAATTCGCATTTCGCAACGATTCTTTCGAAAATATTATTCCGTGACCATCAACACATTATATTTTTGGAATCAACACGTCGAGATCTACGTCCCTGAATTTTTTCAGAATTTTGAGACGACTTTTTTGAAAAGTGAAATTTTTCCAATGGTCCCCCTTCTTCAAATTTCGGCCAAATTTTGACATTTTCGAAACTCAACTAAACACATTTTCTTGTAGATTTCGAGCTCTAGATTTCAGTTCCGGCTTCGTTTCTTTGATAGCTGTAACCGTTTTTCCGGAATCCACCGTTGAAATTTCGAGATTTTTAGAAATTCTCAAAAATTTGTATTTCGTGCCGATTCTTTCGAAAATGTTGCTCCGTGACCATCAACACCCTATATTTTTGGAATCAGCACGTCGAGATCTACGTCATTGAATTTTTTCAGAATTTGTAGACGACTTTTTGAAAAGTGAATTTTT